CCCCAAAACCCCAAAACCCCAAAACCCCAAAACCCCATAGTCTATTAAGTACAGCTTTTGAGAGAGCTAGTAATAATTAAATTTAATCAAAAATAAAATGTTCTAATAGAATAACAACTAGCAAAATCAGCAAAACACTACTCAAAGACTGAATCTAAACAATAATTCAAATCAGTAATAGCAAAGCAACTAAATCCCTAAGAGCCAATCTGAGGTAGTAGGATCAAGCTTCGCTAATTTGAGAAATAAGGATGAATTCCTTAAAAGATCAAGAACCTCTGCTCCCACTAAAAGAATTGAAGATGTAACACTTTTATCTCTGAGAAATCAATGCCAAATATGCAGCACAACTTACTCAAATGATGATTATCTCAATGAAATTTATCGAACATGCTTCAATTGCAAGGAAAGATCAGTTTGTTTTACTCATTTATCAGAACTCAAAGGAATAAATACTAAATGCCAACTTTGTTTTGGTGTTTTCTTAAAGATGCAGAAATGTATTTTGGCGCCTTAAACAAAAGAAGAGGCAAGGCAACAACAAGCTATCACAAAAGTTTAGGATATAAATAACAGAGTAAATTAATAACAAAACTAGACATCTATAAGCGGCTTACCTAGTCAGTAGTCCTAGTAATACATTTAATAGTAAAATGAAGTTAAGGCTCCTAATAGTCTCTAGTAAAATATGTAATAGGCTTTGATCAAGAAATATTAGCAGCTCTAGTCATAGTAAAAGATTGCCTAAGAGTAGTAGAGATAATAAGAACTCAATTTTATTAATTAATAATTGCAAGAGACCATCGAATAGATAGAGTAGATAGAGAATTAATAAAACATCTAAGATTAGTAGAATTTAAATAGTGGCTTGGAGGTTTAAAATAACTAAAATCAACAACAAAATGATCTATTTGATCAGAGAGATCAAAGACAAATCAATCCTCAAGCTAATTTTGAATAAGCAAAAGAATCATTATAATCAAGTTCTAGTTTATCTTCATGCTTCTGGTTCCTTGCTGTAATAGTGATGTGCTTCTTGATTATTATATAAGCTGAAATTTTCCATGCCAATCTTATCCCAAAAGACCAATAAATCATCATATAAACGGAGAGATATGAAAACTATAAAAACAGTTTCAAAAATTACTTCAACACTCATTCTATTTCATAATCCTAAGATTTGGGTCAGAATTTTGCTAGAACTAAAGAATTAATTTAAATCATTGAGAGAGGGCAGGGTCATCAATACCAGCTATCTATTGATCAAATAAAAGAGGAGATTAACTAGCACATTAAAGAAATGGAATATGTGTATATATAATTCCCTTAAGAAACAACTCCCCAAGACACTTAGTATCTGCAATTAGTCATCTAGGAATTAAGGAAATTCCAAGAACATCTAGACAAGGAGCAGACTTTAAGAAGAAGATGATAAAGATTTAGTCATGAATTGACATCAATTTTTTTAATAATATTTAAGTGTTAAATTTAATATGTCAGTATATAAGCAAAGGATTAGAGATTTTAAGTTCAGTTGTGATCTCTTTGATAGCTCTTACCACATTATCAGTTTTCTTGCCTATTACTTTTTCTAGATCACTCATACTGGAGTATAATTCTTTCCTCTGAGTCTCAAATAAATCCTCTACTGAACTTATTTTCCTTTATAATATATTCTCAAAATTAGATTTATTGCTCTCATTCATTTCAATTTTCTAGTTTATTTGTTACAGTCCTTGCTTTAATGAGTCTTTCAAAGATTAAACATTATTCTATAAATAGTTTAAGATATAGAGTATACCTCATTTTCTGATTTTAATTTCTTTAATATCTTATCTTAACTCTCAGACTTCATTGAAAGATTTTAGAGCTATTCCTATAATGGCTAAATTGACGCTTATTATTTAAGTTCTAAAGTCCTATTTATTTGATCCATCTAACTTTTTATAGCATGATTCAACTATTCCTAATCTTTTAATATACTCTAGACATCAATCATGTCACTACTTATCTACTTAAATTGCGTCACTATGTCTTTATCCCTATTTAAGCTAAATTAAATAATAGTTGTTACATATTTAAAATCTTTTTAGTCAACTCCGTGTAATTATCATTTAGATTATTGTTTGATGTTCTTACCAGCTCTAATTAATTCTCAAGTCTTTCAAACTCTTTAGTGCATATTCCTATTTACTAAGCATTTCCTTATATGATTATCCTTAATTATTCAAATAATTTTCTAAGCAGCAGGTATTTACATGGTATATAACTTACTTATTATCACTTTTCATGTTAGTAAGCCTATCCTCCATGTATCCATGAAACTTCTCAACGTTCTTCCCTTCTATAGCATGAAGTGTTTAAAGTTCATCTTTCAAGGTGTTTATCTCAAAGATGATCTTTGAATTATCATTTTCATGCTTGCTGAATACCTGGCAAAGCTACTCAAACTTGACTTAATTTTAATTCAGCTATATATCTACATCTGATTGAATAGACCTTTTGAGGTTTTCAATCTCCTCACTGACTGCATCTGCAAGAGTACCAATTGCTTGCTTTAAATTAATGATTTGTGAGTTAACTGTTTGAACAACCTTTGTATTCTCCTTTTCAAGAGCACTTTATATATTCTACTCTTTCTACTAGGTCGTAGTTTTAATCTCTAACAATGCATCTTCTAACTCAAATAATCTTTCTCTGATATTTACTCGATAAGGTGACTAAACAAATTTATCTCTGTTAGTTTATTACTTTTTATCTTGAAAGAGAAGCAACTGTTGGCTGCAAATATTTTGAATGTGGATTTACCCCTGAATTATTGCTAGTAATTGTATCTCCTCTGCCAGAGAGTCCATTCCTGCCTGAGATATTTGATCTGCTAATGTTATGATGCATATTCATAATTTAAATTATTATATTGTTTGATTATAATTAAATAATTTTATATGTTAAAAACATGAAATAGTAAGCAAATAATTTATCAGCTAAGCAGTTGTCAAATCCGTCAAAATTTCGGCAGTAGTTTTAAGATCCAAGGTAAATATCAATTCAAATTAACCTAAACTTAATTTAATAAGCATAGATTAATACATGCAGAGAGATTTGCTATTAAGAAGAGTATCTAGAGAGGTTAGGATCTAATTATATTGAAAACTTAGGGAATTACCAAGGAGGAGAGAAAGCAAATAAACGATAACAAGATAAACCCTCCAGATGAATAAAAGAAAATACTTATTGAGAAAGATATTGAGCTAATGAAATTAGAAGATGAGTTCAAAAATATCCAACAAGATCAGCTTGCTAATATTCTAAATATGTACTCTAAGGATAATGATCATAGAATTCAAAAGAAAAGATAAAAGATGCTTTAGCTAGTCAAGAAACTAAAAGAAGAAAAAAAAGATAAAAAGGAATAAATTGACCTTCTGGATAGTAAAATGAGACTCTATTACTTAATCAGAGAATATGCCAAAGAAACTTAAGGTGTAGAGTAGCTAGATAATTATACTGAGGAAGTGTTTGATCTTGGTTTCTTTGATTAGCTTAGAGCGAAATAAAGATAGAAAAATGAAAACATTAGAGATAAATTTCTAAGAAGAAAATTATTAGTCAAGCATTTTCCTGGAGATGGAGATCTAGCTGAGGCAAATAGTGATGACAGTAATTTTATGGACGAGGAGCTTGAAGAAAAAATAAAATTTGGACTTGGATTCAAAGGCTCATTAGATAATAGAATACCTGAAGGTATAAACTAACTACCACTTATTAAAGTGCTTTATTAAAAATAAAAGAATCTTGAATAGGAGTTAGAGGAATAAGAAATAAAACAATAGCTTACCAAAGGGAAGAGAACTAGTACTATGAAATTGAGATTTAAAGAGTAGCCTAATAAGTCAACAAAAGTGATAGATTCTAAATTGAAATGCAAATATTGCTAAGATAAAGACAAAGGTATTAAAAATTTAAAAGGTAAATGTATTTGTGATAAAAAATAAAAGGATTATGATAAAGTGTAACTAAATGAAGCAATGAGGAAAAAAATATTTGGGCTAGATGATTTAAAAAGAATGAATACAAAGACATTAGAATATTTAGATTCTGAGTTAAAAACACAATAAGTATAAAAGTAAAATTATGAGCTAGCATTAAAGAAAAGGAAAATTCTAAATACAAAAAAGCCACCATTAATTAAGCAACTCTCCAAAATTTCGGATGCTCAAACTGATTTCACAAATACTCTTTAGCCCAAAAAATAAAATCCAATTAAAAATGCATTAAAAATAAGTCCTAGGAAAATTGACTCGAAAACCTCTGCAAGAGCTAGTCAATAATTATCTAATTAAAAATAGAAATAAATCTTGCCTGAAATAAAAAAAGAAAGATTAGAACTTAGGAAAAGATAAGCCAATGAGATTTAAACATAAACTAATGATAGCCTATTTATAAATGGACCAAATAATAACTTAGCTGGACTAAAAGGAATACCGAAAATGAGCAAAGATGTAATTAATGAAATAAAAAGATAAGTAAAAGAAGAGTTAAAATTTGAATTGTAATAATAAGAGATCGTTGAAGATGAATCTGACTAATTTAGTTAGTATAAATCTAGCCCCGTAAAATTAATAAGGAGAAATTCAGTGAGATTGTCTCCTTTGAGGCTTGAAAAACCTATAATATAAACTCCTGTTCCAGTATCAAGTGAATATAGAAAACCACCTTTACCAATGCCTTAAAATCATCTTAGGGCACATTCTTAAAACTAACTAGAATTAAAATCAAATTTATTAAGAATTAAGCCACTTGAAAGTGAATTAAGTGCTTCTGTGAGGCCTTTTTCTTAAGAAAATTAGAATCAATAACACAAAAGCTCGTTTGCTGGCTCAACGTAAGCAAACACCAATAAAATCTTAAATTATGAGGGTAATTCATCTAAGATTCCATTATCAAGAGCACATTTTAAGACCGTAATTGAACCGATTCCTGATGAAGGAGAGCTAAAACTAGATGATAAAAATGAGGAAAATAAAAGTAGAAATATAGATTAATATGTGAAGCAAGTGACTGTGTCAATTTTCAATGAAAAAACCGAAGAAAATGACAAGATTAAAGATTATATGAATAGAGGATATTTAAAAGATGAGGAGAAAATATTTGAGCTAAAATTACCCGACAGTCCAACAAAAATATAATCATCAAGTAATTCTCCTGATGACGAAAATAGAAAGCATAGACAGAGTGAATTTAGCTACGAGGGAAATTCAGTATTTAAAAAATCAATGTAATATTGGCATCAAACAGTTAAGCCAACTAAATTACCAAAAGTAAGTGCAAGAAAACACTTAGAGCTCGAATTATTGGAATAAAAAAATCTAGGCACTGTTGTTTTACGTGTGCAGAGATTTCATCTCTCTGATTTAGTATGAACACTTTAAAAATGATATTATGATAAAAATAGTTCCATCAACTATTTAAAAGACCAATCGCTTCTTGGGGTTTTGGGGTTTTGGGGTTTTGGGG